ATCATCATCATCATCATCATCATCATAATTATCATCATCATTATTAACCATTAATAATATTTTTCTTCTTTATAGCAACCTCAAATAATTTTACTTAAAGAAGGCACAGATGCTTCACAAGGAAAACAGCAAGTAATATCAAATATAAATGCATGTCAAATAGTAGTAGATGCTGTAAGGACTACTTTAGGTCCACGAGGCATGGACAAACTCATTGTTGATCAAAGTGGGAAGGCAACCATCTCAAATGATGGTGCAACCATTTTAAAACTTTTGGAAATTGTTCATCCTGCAGCAAAAACTTTAGTAGATATCGCGAAATCTCAAGATGCAGAGGTAAATAATATAAATATCATAAACATAAACTCTGTAATAAAAGCAGTGTAATGTGAATAAAGCATAACATTACTAATTAATTGACAGAGGACAGTATATTGAGAACTTATAGACTGATAACATCTTGAAAATATGTGATTATCTCAATAATGTTCAAACATTTCATTAAACTATATTTATTATTACAAATATTTTATATATACCTTAATTTTATGATTTATATTATAGGTTGGCGATGGTACTACAAGTGTAGTCTTATTAGCAGGAGAATTCTTAAAACAAATGAAACCATTTATTGAAGAAGGAGTACATCCACGTATAATGATTAAAGCACTTCGTCTTGCACTTCAAGTAGCAATTGAAAAAATAAATACAGTGAGTGTAAAGATAGATAAATCTGATCAAACAAAATTAGTAGAACTTTTAAAAGAGTGTGCAGCTACATCTATGAGTTCAAAATTAATTCATCAACAGAAAGAGTTTTTTAGTCATATGGTTGTAAAAGCTGTCATGATGCTTGATGAAATGTTACCTCTTAATATGATTGGAATTAAAAAGGTAAATTTATTTAAAAAATAATGTATAGAATGTATGTGTATAATTATTACATGTGTTATGTAGGTTTCTGGTGGGGCATTGGAAGACTCGGAATTAATTAAAGGTGTAGCTTTTAAAAAGACATTTTCCTATGCTGGATTTGAAATGCAACCTAAAAAATACCAAGACTGCAAGATTGCTTTATTAAATATAGAATTAGAACTTAAAGCAGAAAGAGATAACGCTGAAGTACGTGTGGACAATGTTATGGAATATCAGAAAATAGTTGATGCTGAATGGCAAATTTTATATGACAAGCTTGATAAAATTCATAAGAGTGGAGCACAAGTTGTATTATCAAAATTGCCAATCGGTGATGTCGCTACACAATATTTCGCGGATCGAGATATGTTTTGTGCTGGTAGAGTTCCTGAAGAAGACTTGAAACGAACGATGAAAGCATGTGGTGGGAGTATTCTAACAACTGTGCATGATATTAAAGAATCAGATCTTGGTAGCTGTGAAATGTTCGAAGAAAGACAAATTGGAGGAGAAAGGTATTTTAAATGTAACAAATACTCGATTATAATTAAAAGATACTATCAACAATTATTATATGAAAATAATTATTTTTAGATTTAACTTTTTCTATGAAGGATCACGTGCTAAAACATGCACATTTATACTTCGTGGGGGAGCAGAACAATTTTTAGAAGAAACGGAAAGATCTTTACACGATGCTATTATGGTTGTTAGACGTTTATTTAAAACAAATGCCTATGTAGCTGGTGGTGGAGCTATTGAAATGGAACTCTCGAAAACATTACGAGACTATTCCCGAGTAATAGCAGGAAAGGAACAACTTTTAATTGGAGCAATAGCTCGTGCGCTCGAAGTTATTCCAAGGTATGTATTTTATCTTCAATCTCTATTTTATTATTTATAATTTGAATTTTTTAAAGAAATAATAATCTTAAAATTCATTTCAGACAATTGTGCGATAATGCTGGTTTCGATGCAACAAATATTTTAAATAAATTGCGACAAAAACAACATAAAGGCATGCATACTTATGGTGTTGATATCAACACTGAAGATATAGGCGATAATATGTTAGCTTATGTCTGGGAACCTGCTATTGTCAAAATTAATGCCCTAACAGCTGCAACTGAAGCAGCATGTCTTATTTTATCTGTCGATGAAACTATAAAGAATCCTAGAAGCAGCCAGGACAATGGACCACAAGGTCCAGTGGGTCGTGGCATGGGAAGACCAATGTAATAATAAATCGCTTTATTGGCTTAAAAAAACATGTGCTAATATATTGCAATCCGTTTATATTATTACGAATTATTGAAAACAACTTTTACATACTTCTTTTCTACATTGTAATATAAGATAAAGTGAATTCTAAACTCTTGTTCAGCAACAGTATTTCATTATAAAAATTGCAATCATTAACATAATATTATGTTTACTATGTTTTGTATATGCAAGTTACGAGATTATTCACTTTTGCATTTATAAAATTATAAGCCATTGGTTTAATCGTAACATTACAAAGAAAAATTTCTTTGTATGCTTAAAAAGGATTTTCAACATTAACAATGATAATAATTACTACTTATTTATTAAAATTTATCTAATATTGAATCGCAAAATTCATTCAAAATGAGTCTTGATTTGTTCTCAATGTAACATTTTACATTTCCTTTTCTCATGTGCTTACTATTTTTAATAAAAGAATATTTTCCGTTTTAAAAGTTCCGTTTGTTATGATAAAAACTTACCATAATTAGTCATTCCTTCGTCTATCTTTCCGATAGACTTTTATTTTTAAGAAATTTGAATATTGTCATTCCTCAATATTTTCACAATTTTGCTTTAGAAACAATTTTCATTAAAACTCTTTAATGAAAAATGTAATAATTCTTATAGTAACAATTAAAGCAATAATTAAATTTATACTGTAATTACAAAATCATGAATCTTCTGAAATTCGAACTGTCGTTCGATAATTGAAATTATCGATGACGTGTAGACAACTTCGTTTGTGTCACAAGTTTATGACAGATTAATTTTGACTATGTTTAAAAGAAGTAGAACGAATTACATATCTACTGTTTGTAAATACAGCGTGATGTGATCTCTTCGATTATGAAAATTACACATTTTATATAAACTTGTTATGTATGTTTATATGTAACAAATACTTGAAAAAGAGACAGTACATAGTCATTATTATTGAAGAAAAATTTGATTTAACAGAAAAATATTAACTATTTTTCCAATCACAAATTATATCGGCAAACATGAAAACCGAAATTTCTTGGAAACGTCGATTTACACGAAAAAAATTGAAGTATACATTAATTTGTGTGCTCATAGTTGCCATTATTTTTGTTTTTCATCAGTTAATTTATTTTAAACAACTGAATCAAGCAATCGTAGGAAAATTAATTAGTGGATCTGTACGAACATCTAATTACATCGTTTCTGGTAAAGCGAATTCAAAATGGGATGAACCAGTGCATTCAAAACTTCTTCGTGATAAAGAAGGTCGAACTGTATCATTACGTGGTACACGTGATCAAGATATTTCGAAATATCTGCCAAATACGCGAGGAAAATTTGTTTGTTTCACGTCAAAAGACGAAATAGACTTTTTTAAAATTAACGATAATTATTGTGATTGTCCTTTGGATGGTAGTGATGAACCTGGTACCAATGCATGTAACAATGGTGTTTTCAATTGTGAACTTCCATCTTTACAGTCTATAGGTATATTTAATAATTTACATTTTATCATGTATATTTATTTTTCTTTTAATAACATTTTAATTGTTTTCAAATAGTCAAAATACCATCTTATAAGGTTAACGATGGATACTGTGATTGTTGTGATGGATCTGATGAATGGGCTGAAGTTAAATTATCACATTTAAATAATGGTAAATGTTTTTATTACAGAAAACTTAATGAATTTTATTATTTAATAACAAGTTGTTTACCCTTATTATTTAATGACAAATTGTTTCAGAATCTGGAAGTATAACTTACTATCGTACAAAATGTCCAAATAGATGCTAGTAATATTCAAAGAAATATCATCATTTTGTATGGATTAAACTGTACAAGTAAATATTTGTATATTGTAGATAAAATTTTACACTATATCAAAATTACTTTTTAAAATTTATATTATTTATATTATACAATTAAAGAAATTATGCACCTTAAGCTACTATAAAGCTGCAAAAATTGAATTACGATACAACTTAAGTTATTGAGATATTACATTGTTACATTACTATTGAGGTATTAAGAATATGCTACAAAGTTAATTATAAAATGTTTTTATGTACATATTAATTTATTATGTGAAAATAATACTGTATGAAGTATATAGTTGAACCTCTATTATCAATATTTATTTTTTATATAAATATATCATTCCTTGTGTGAATATATTATTTTTAAATTATACATGGAAATACAAAATTAAGATTTTATACTTAATTCGAATAATAGAAGTTCTACTGTGAACAAATCTTCTATGAAATGTGATATTGTATTTAAGAAGTCTATATATTTTCGTATCATTAACTAATTAATGAAACATTAGAAATTTCATCATTTTTCATCTTATGTTAACATTGTAAATAAAATATGTAACATTATTGTGTGCAACTTCCAATAATTTTAAGTACATTAAAATGATTTTGCAAACTTCTTGCCTTATCTGCGAAGTGTAAAGTTCGTTTTATAGGAATTTTCATACTTTGTAAAATATTACAGAAAGAGCTTTCTTCTTTACCAATCCATGGACGATGATGATCTTGAATTTGATATGATGTAACATGAACATTGACATCTATTCCTAAAATAATATATTAATTTTTCAATATAAAGTTAATAAAATACTTAGTAAGTGTAAATGCAAGACATTTCAAGTTCAATAAATGATATTACTTAATTTTGCAAAAGATTCTAGTATAGATTTTTCCACAATCCATGTATTCTTCCAACCTGCATGACCACCATCCAACCACCACATGCTTTTAATGAGATGTATGAAATTATTAATTTCAATATCAGGTTGTAATTTATTTTGGTAATAATGAAACTCATGGAGTAATTGGTTTAAAACAACACAACCTTTACTAAAGCCAATTAATGTTAACCTTATTCCTTCAATATTCAAAAAAGCAAGTTCCTAAATATCAAACATATCTGTTTTAATTGGAAATTAGAATTTGTAATTTATAATTTATAATCTAGAGTATGTACCTTATCCGTACTATAGGTTTTAATTTGCTTTAAAGAAGATTTAATTAATTCTTGTAAATGTTTCAGAGCATTATGTGTTGGGCAAAACAACGGTATACCATATTCTTTTGACGGTACAAAATTATCAAAACAGCTTAATGTTCCTAATATCCTGAAATAATATTTGAATTAATAATAACAAAATTAAATATGTTATTTTCAATACTTTATGAGTAGTTACATATTACCTAGATGGTCGAATCAGAAGGATATGTTTTTTAGGAAAGTTTGTAGTAAGTATTTTAGCTGTATTTTCTAAACTCCATTCTACATATTGTTTACTATCTGTACGTTCCATGTTTTCTTGAATGTCCTACAATTGAAAATGTGTTTATATATAAATGTCCTTTACATTCGTGTATATTTCATATAGTTATAATTATACAAATTGCAATTTATATACCTGAATATCACCCCCAAAATATACAAGAACATCATGATTTGAAGGTAATACAGGACGTGAATAAATTATATCGTTATATCGACCAGTAATACCGGGAACGTTTTTCCAAATCCAAATTTTAGATGACATGTTTAGATGAATTATTTGATAAGGTTATAACAAAAATAAAAATATACAAATTAGATGATTGTATTCATCCAATTTATATAATGAAATACTTAAATTTGTTATACATTAATTATACAATTATATTTTAATTATTTTACAACTGTACACACATGTTTAATACTAATACGTAGTAACACAAGTACAAATGCTATAACACAAGGAATTTATTAAATAAATATAATACTATAATTTTATTTCACAATTAAATTTATTATTCTCAACAATTTAATACTGTCGAATAAAATTACTATTGCATACTAAACATGAAATTAAAATTTTAATTAAAGTTTACAATAAAGATACCATCCTATGTATACAACTAAAACATGCGATTGTGATAATGAATCGATATACACTTAAATTTTCATACAAAATTAAGTATGAATACAAAGTTATAATTATGTCGAATACATATATAAGTTATGTGCAAGCTTAAAAGTAGTATTCTGAATCTGAGTTTCATCGTGAACAGAGTCCAACAATTATTACGTAAGATATAATAAAAATAGTGAACTGAATCCAATTTTTGTTCAATTCTTTTTACAATTATATTAAATATTAAATATTTAAATAGTTAAAACTATGTGTCCTTAAATTACATGGTTATTAAAACTTATACATATTTTTTTCAGTTTTAAAAAAACATAAATCGAAATTAATCATGCAATGTGAGCCAAAGTTAGACACAACAGTGTGGGATCCTCTTCAAATATTTAATTATCACATGCATCATAAGTATGCTGTTGTTATATTAAACAGTCCACTTTATTGGAAAGATGACATTTTACTTCAAATTTGGAAAAAAGGTATGTTTCTTTGTATTTAAAAGTATTTAAATAATAAATAAAGGAAATTCTATATTTGGCAGTTTTTTTTAATAATAATTTAATCAGAAGTGTATGTTATTCAGCTCAGGTTAATGTTACTGTTGATGGTGGAACGTACAAGTGGCTGCGTTACTTAGAAGAGCAAGGTATTGATTTATTAAATGAAAATCATACTGAATATGTACCAAATTTAATTACTGGTGATATGGATAGTTGCTCTCCTTTAATTCTTGAAAAGCTAAGAAGTATGGGTGCAATGATTATTAAAACACCTGATCAAGATCATACAGATTATACGAAAGCTTTGTTTGAATTGGTAAAATATGTTAAAAAAAAGAATGTAAAGGTATTATAGAATGTTTTATAAAATGTTTTAAAATTGTTTGAATTCAATAATAAAAGATATTATTGTTTACAGTTAAATAGAATATACGTGTTTGCAGATACTTCAGGGAGATTTGATCATATTATGGGAAATATTAATACGCTTTATAAAAGTGATAAGATTATTGAACCACAATTACAAGTAATTGTTTTTTATTTAATTATAATTTATTTCTGTTTTAAAATATTCAGTTCTATCTATTAAATTTTACGTATTTATCAGGTGATTCAACTTGCAAGCAATTCATTGACATGGATTTTAAGACCAGGTCTTCATAGTATAATTATCCCTAAGATTTTGGTACAAAACAATAGCTGGTGCGGGCTACTACCAATTGGGGCACCTGTTAACTGTATAGTAACAACTGGTTTAAAATGGAATTTGAGTATGTATTGATTAATATAGTGACATATTTAAATCAATTCAATATCGTAGAAAACAAATATTTCATTTCTTAGACAAGGCAACATTACAATTTGGTAGTCTGGTAAGTTCTTCAAATACATATGATAATTGCTCTGAAGTAACTATAAATACAGATTCACCAGTGATATGGACTATGGGTATAGAACCGCTTCAAAAAAATATAAATAACTATATATCATCAAATGCTTATTGATGAAATTTTGATTTACTTAAATGATTTTCAATATCTTAGCTACAAATTGTTTGTATAATAGAAAAGAAAATATTTTGATATTCTATACAACATTCTACATTTTAAAGCATTATAGAAAGTATTACATTATAGAATTAATATTAATTTACTGTAACTTGGATATGATCAAAAATTATGTATGTTCTATTGCAATTCAATAAGTAGATTTTTCTTATTTGTTTAATATAATTTATGTTTATAAAGTTTATAATAAGTTAATTATTTTTTATATAAAGTTATAAAGTTATTTTTTCAAGAATAATTTTTGGAATTTTGAAATTTTAATTTTTCAAAATATTTAGATTTTTATTATATAATTTCAAGGATATGTTTTGCTTGTTATTGAAACAAATTTATGTACTAGATTTCTCTGTTAATAATTTAAATAGTACATTAATGTTTTATTTTCAATCATAATAATGTGTGGTTGAGTGAAAAGTAGCTTTATTTGTAAAAAAAAAAAAAACTGAACTGTAGGTTTTTAATTTAATGCTGGTATTTGGTACGCTTTTGATCATGACAAAATATGTAAAGGTAATGATTAGTATATTATTGTTAAAGTTAGATTGTAGAAAATCTATTATTCAATTCTATCATAATAATTGTTCTTTTGTTTGAATGTTTTATCTAAATCTTGAAATGACAGGAAATAGAATTCTCTTTGAGAATTATTATTAATTTACTTAAAGAATTATTTTAAAATATTAAGTAATTTATAATCATTTCCAATACAGAAAAATTTTTAAGCGTGATAATAAGAAAGAAAATTTATAAAACCAGTACTATACATTTACATTCCTCCAAATTTCACATTCAGTTATATAAGAGTAAATTATTGTCTTGGTTTGATAGAAAATAAAAGTATGATAAAACTGATATATTACTTTAAAGATTTTAGTTTTATGTAAATATTAATCAATTGTGTGTTCCTTATATGTATCAAGTCAAGTATCATAGTGATAGTTACTATTGTTTATAAATAACTATATGAAATAAATTTATGCATATAATTTTACGTACATTTAGTAATAATAATAATCTGATGTAAAAACAAAAATTTTTAATTAATGTTATAAAGGCCACAAGATTACTTATTTTTTGTACATGTATATATACGCACATAAATGGAAAAATTAATTGTTAGATTTTGCTTTTCTAAAAAATAAATTATATTATTACCCATGTTGAAATGTAATCAATGCCAATTTTAAATATATATTTATATTTATTTATATATATTTTCCATGGCTAATAAATTGTAGGATACCCATTTTGTAATTAAAGAATATTAATATAAAAAATTCAAATTTCAATCACTGATATATTTAGATATACTTTGTGAAAGTTTTATAATACATATAATTTTCTATGTGATATGTAATACGTAATATTACTAGGAATAATAATTATTATATTATAATGTAATAATTTATTAATGTAATATAGTAACAATTATTTCATTATTATATACTGAATTATTTTAAGGAAGTATATTGTTGCATGTATAATGCAAGAATGTACTTCCTTATATATGCATATCTATATGTATTTAGAGATATATCATATTGTATATAATATTGTCATACATATTACATATATAATAATAAAAATTGTATTTTTATTTACGTATAATATTTTAATATTACAATAGATGATACAAATATACAAATACACAGAATTATTTATATCTTTATTTAAATTGTACTCATATTTTTTACCTATGTAATTTTTTACCTACATAGTATATATTTAATAATATTAATCTGATTTATTTGATTTATTTAAATACGTAAATTAAAAATATAATAATGAATTTACAAAAGTAGCAAAAACATTTTTGTAAACGAATCTTCAGATGGTGGTGGGTTTTTTTTTTATTTGTACATAAATTGTAAAATACGAAATGTATAAATAATTTAAAATCGTATTGAATTGAGACATTAAATAGCATGTTTCGAGATGCATAATTATAAAGTAATTACAAATGTGTCAGTTTCTGAATTATAGTTCAATTGTAAACGTCTGTTTCTTATTTCAAATTGTCGAGTTCTATGCTTACAATTCATGAGAATGTATCTAATTTGAAACTCGTTGCTCCAACTAATCTGGTCGATGAAATCGCTGACGAAGTCCTTGACCGATTAGTCATTGGTTCATCCTGAAGAATCAGTGTTTGTTCTCTTGATAGTATCACTGGCCTTTCGTTACGTTCACAGCACGTTGCATTCAATAGAAGAAATCATGATTGATTCTAACAATAAATCAGATAGACGAAAGTATGGCAACAATTTGACACGCGCCAGATTTCTAAGAACCATCATACATATGTAATTTATCTTTAAGAAATTCATACGTTCTTGCGCATAATAAAGGCGGTGGATCTAGAATAAGGAATTCTGCTCATTATTGTCAACTTCATTAGAAGGTTTCGCACGGTAGATAAATTTCTGTAGATATAAAACTGTCTAGAATTCGTCTGTACTTAAAAATAGCCGATGCCCTCAATTATATTATAAACTATATTAGCAATATCTACGAATAGTCATAGTTCATCATCTTCGCTGCTGTTCGAGTAAGTATTAACAGAATTATATTACAAAATAATGACAGTGACGATATAAAAAAAAAAAAGGGATATATATATATATATATAATTGGAGTTTATAATTTATACTGGTTAAGATCAGAAAACTTCGATACGCACGTGTAGATGCGACTCGTTGAAGCGGGGGCGGCAAACCACTAAAATACGTACTTACGTACATACACACGTATATATGTCACGACGATCAGCTGTAGCGATGTTTACATTTGTTGGCATCCTCGACGACGGTGTATCGCGTGGTGGTGTCGCGGCCACTGGCCAGTTCCTTACGGTCTTTCGAAGTGGTCGGTATCGCTTTCGTCGTAGGTTCCCTTAATTGCTAATCCTCGTTGCTAATCGTCCGCGTGTTTACGGTGAAAGTTTCACAGAGTTATAAAGTGTGGCGTGGTGAATGTGTCAAATGTGTTATCACTGGTCTAATAATCGAAAGGAATCGGTAAGTCGTCGAGATCATTTTTAAGATTATCCGAGGACGCAGCTATTTCACGCGTACGTATATTCGCGTAAATGGTATTAAACTGTCGCTGATTGCAATGCGAAACTTCGTAGAGATGAGCAAGGTTTGTCTCCCTCGTATATATGTGTACACGTCCCGAGTGTGTTCTATCTATCGTTCGAATTATTGGATGTATTATGTGTTACGTAGCATTGGTCGGTGCAGTGTGTTTCTTTCGTTAGGCGATATCGCGTGGCAGTGCCGCCGCTGTTTTTCGCGGTTTTCGAAACATATGATACGTGCATCGAACTCTTTACCGTTATCACGTCGCGTGCGTTTTCGCATGGACGAGAAATCATCGACGATAACTCCTTCATCCTCGCGTACCGCCGCTATGCAACCGTTGGCTTATCGGACTTTGACGACGATCTTCAACCGTGGCTTACGCGCATATTCTGCGTCGATGGTAACTTCTCAATTAAGCTATCGGTCAAGGTGAACCGCGCCGCGAACAATTGTGACGCTTCGATTCTCTCTCTCTCTCTCTCTCTCTCTCTGCTTGGTGGTGTGCTTTTACGTGCATTAGCAAGAGGAGTGGTAGCCGTTTAGTTCGGAGTACTGTGCCTTGCTACCAAAATGGTGTCAGACACCGAGTGTAAATAACCTTATGAACGTAAGAATAGACGTACGAGACGAATTGGGTTTATATATCTGTTGCGCCGAAGAAAGCGTTCTTGTATATATTAGACGGTAGCACGGGAACATTTGGTACGAGTTTTGGCAACCGTTCTTCTTACTCGATTTCGCACAGACATCGCCGAAAGAAATTTCTGACACGGTTACCCAGATTTCAGAAATGCCGATAATTAATTTGCAGCGTGTCGCAACGGCAAGTAATTCCGTTCGTAAACGTACGTCTGTCATTTCATTGGAATTACGAATTTGTAATTTTAGGAACTTTTCCAGCCTGTTGAGCAATAAAGTTATTAAGCAACAAAGTTGACTATAAGTCGAACAGATAAATAATAGTCTACAGAATGTCTAAACATTTTCTTCCTTCTCTCTATTATGACTCACTGTTTGTTAAATCTCGAATAATTCTTAGACGGTTTATATACTCTTACGCAAACGCATTGAAACGAAATTATCGCGGCAACGGGTAATTAATATTCGTTACGTAAGATATTATCTGCCGGTCCAGAAAATTTCAAACTTTCACACTATTTTAAACGCGGCAGATAATTTTAACAAATCATTATCAGGAATTTGAACGCTACTGCGTCGCGTTTTTTCAAGCCCCGACGCAGGCCTACGACGAATACTCGTGTTAAGAGATTGTTAACATTAGCGACCCTTTGAAAGATCGTACCAATAAGAACGCGTTACACATCACTCGCACGCGTAAATTAAATTTGAGCATTAGCGTTATATTCTACACAACAAAAACAATAAATATGTCATTTCCAGTTACATCCAAAATTCGAAAATTCTCATATATACAAGCAACTTGAATTCACCTTATCCTTCAATTACACGCACCAAGCTTTATTTTCATCGACGATTCAGAAGAGACTTGTTTGAGAAATAAATAGCCTCTCTTTCCCATT